GGGGGGGGGGGGGGGGGGGGGGCATGAAAACCGGGCAGAACTTTGAATTTTACAGCCTGTACCCTGTTTTCATAGTTGTTTTTTTTTATTACTATTATTTGTCATGTGAATAGTGTCTGACGTAATGTACGAGAAAAATGATGCGGCAGTTTTTTTTTTTTTTTTTTTTTTTTTTTTTTTTTTTTTTATGAAGCCACTCTCGTCTTAGGTTTTAGGTTATATGAATTGTATATCTTTTTTGAAATATCACTTACATTGTGGAACACTGACGTAGCGTCAATCTTAATTTTTTAGAAAAAACCCAAGCTAATCTTACAAACCTAGATTATCTTTGAAGAACTGCCAATACGTTTTCAAATCACCACTGTATTCGTGATGATTAAGTTTGAAGAGTTTGTTATGATGATAGCACGAGATGATTACATCCTTGGGGTTCCTTGCGATGTATATAACTTTGGATGTAGGAAGCAGGGTCGGTGATAGAAGGCAAAAAGGAAGGTGAGTCTTGATGATACGTGGGTTTGCCAATTCCGCAGCGGTTTCAAATTCGGGTCGAAATATTTTGTTTAGCAGATCGGTCGCTGCAGAATTATCTGCGTTTAATTTCATTGTTTCCTGAATTAGCCGAGGGCCCCTGAGGATGGAAAACCTAAACAATATTCGAAGGAAAACTTAAGTAATTTGCACAAAATTTTAATACGCTTCCAATCTTACATACAATGTTATAAGCAGAGTCACTTTTTGTATCAGTTCGTGCATTTAATAAAATGAAGGCGTTACTATACCCTTCCGTAGGCTAACAATCGATGATTTGTTGACATTTTGACTAATTATTGTCATTTCCTAGTAACTCTGAACATTATGAAAACTGGGTACTCTGTTTTAACATGAGCTCCTCATCTTCTTAGGAAAACAATTGAAGCTCGCAGATTTCTAAGTATATCGATGGTGTAAGTCGGCAATCACATAACTCGGTTTGCGACGTAGCAGGATTCCTGGCATACTTTATTTTTTAGAAAACGTATATCCAACGGCAATTCTTTAAAATTGCCGTGATTTTCTCTTCTATGTGCGAAGAAAATTCTGCATAAACTTCAAGGAATTATGTCAATTTTTTCTCTTTTAAAAAAGTAAGATAGAGGTGGAGATTTTTAGACACCGCAGACGAGATATGTGATTGTGGACCTACGCCGTCGATATACAGTTAAAAAGAGAGCTTACTCCCTGGAATTGCATTTTGATTTTTGTCATAATACCAATCTTATTTGCTCAGGAATTAGATGATTTTACGACCGCTTCAAAAAATGTCCTTTTTTGACATGATAATATACTAGGAGTACGTCCCCTGCTCGCTACACGATATTTATACTTTATAATAATAACAAGTTGGATTTTGCAATCGCTAGCGATAGCAATATTCGTCATGGGAACGTTAGCTTCTGGGATATGAAAATGTTAAGGTACAGTTCGTTTGTAGTATCTTCTGAATTGAAGGGGCTGTGTAATTTTGTGTTGACATCTCTTTTTTAACATTTTTAATTATTTTCTTTGCATACAAGAAAGCTGTTATGTACCAATTATTTATTTTCGTTGGATTATATATGGTTTTCGGAAGTTAACGCATTTAAGTTTCAGGTTCGCTTTTTCGGCGTAAAGTATACATAAGGTGTCCCAAAAGCACCGGGACTTCTTCTGTAACTTCAAAAGTAAGATAGATACAGACATGATCTTGATTTCATTTTAAAGATCAACTCAATACCTATCGATTAAACCCAAGATCAGCTCAATCGGATAAAAATTGACCGAGTTATGGCAATTTGAAATCAGCGAGGAAAGTTTACGCCTACGGTTTTTAAGGAAGATTCTTCATCGCCGTAAATCGAAAAGTCGGCCGATAAAGTGATGTTTATTGTGTTTTTTTATTTTCGAGGTGTCATTTATCAACATTTTGTACCATCAAACACAACAGTTGACAGTGCGTATTATTGCAAAGTACTAAAGGAGTTGAGAATGCACATTTCCCGGAAACGGTCGGACTTGAAAGCTTCGTGGATACTCCATCAAGACAATGCGCGGCCTCACACATCGAGCTTAACACATGAATTTATGAGTAAAAATGGAATTGAAACAATCCCTCATCCCCCTTTTAGCCCTGACTTGGCTCCATGTGATTTTTGGATGTTTCCTACGCTTAAAAAGGAGCTTCGCGGACGAAGATTCGTATCGAAGACCGAAATCCAGAATGCAATTCAAAACTTCTTCAACTCCATCCCAGAGGAAGAATCAGGAAAACAATGTTGGATAAGTGGCAAGAGCGCATGAAAAAGTGCAATCGGTTTGATAGACGGTACTTTGAAAAGCAAAAGGAAGTTATGGAAGATTCGGAGGAAAGTGGATACGAATATTAACTTTTTGAATCCTGGTAAGCGAAAAATCTTCCTAAAAACCGTAGGGGTAAACTTTCCTCACTAATTTCAAATTGTCATAACTCGGTCAATTTTTATTTGATTGAGCTGATCTTGGTTTTAATCGATAGGTATTGAGTTGATCTTTAAAATGAGACCAAAATCATGCCTGTATCTATCTTACTTTTGAAGTTACAGAACCAGTCCCGGTATTTTTGGGACACCCTACGTATGATATTTTTACTCTACACATATGCCCGAATACGCATCATAAGGGACCTATGTGCTTCCTAAGTTGCCAAGTATTAATTATTGTTAGATGATTGGTCTAAAACATTCAATACAACCAGTAAAAATTAACTGTCTCCTACGAGATTCGAACCCCCGCTCGCACAAAAAGGGACGTCATCAAAATGCTAGTAAGGTGTCGTTGACATCTGAGCTATCTCCGTTCACGTGATGAACTGGAGAAAAAAGAACAGTTAAGTGATCTCGGACGCTGAGCGGGGCTTCACAAAAGGCGTCCTTGAAGTTTCGGCGCGGTTCGGCCCTTGCGGTAATATGAGACAACGGATGAACCGCATTTCTCTGTGAGACATTGTTTGCCTATGCTTTCATGTGTCACAAGGTTCATCTTAGAATGCATTTGTGATCGCGGCAGTAAACTGAGGCAATAATTCTGTATTCATGGATTAAATCCATCAATCGAGTTCTGATTTTGGCTCATATATCCGTAACGGGTCCTCCAGAGCAATTTTCCACCTTGTACGATGGTTATTATTTCTTTATATCTATGTTTAAAATTTGAGGTGGGATAATGGCGGCTTCTCAATAGCACCGAGGTAGGCGATCTTTTGCACCAACGAACAGAAAACTGATTGCGAAAAATAACCAATCAGAACCTCCCAAAAAAAAGAATTTGCCTAAAAACGGAACTTCGTGGTTCTGCGCAGATTTACCAGTCAGACACGACATCTCAAAGTGGAAAAAAACTCGCTGAAAGCGAATTTTAGCAATCAACACAACTTGACGTAGAGACATGATTGGCTAAAAAATACAACGGTTTTTGATACATCGGAAAATCGACCAAAAATCGGAGACTGGGCGAAACGCTCAAGGTCGCAGAGGTATAGGGAATTCCATAGCGAAAGCAACGGAACGATTCTAATAATATCATGGGGAACTCCGTTCCCATGACAATATATAAATGTATTAAGGAGTATGATTGAGAGTATTTCTGCAAAACGGAACTGAGAGGCAAAGGTGGAAGAGGGGGAATGCAAATTGAACTTGCGGATGCTGCAGACCGTGAAACTCGTTCCGTCATATGCTTACAATTTATTTTTTTCCATGGCGCTTGGTTCCGTTTGACAGGAGGCGCTGTCTAGGATTCTAAAATCCTCAAGAAACTGAAGTTGGCGCTTAGTTTCGTTTGGCAGAAATATGTTCGATTATTTAATAAAAGTGGTATATTTCACTTACTCTAGAAAAGGTGCTTTTGCGTGAATATCGATCTCCGCTGATTTCTTTGTATCTAAATTGTTCTTTAAAAGCCAAATTAATTCCTGACATAAAGTGGTGCCTGAAAAAAGCTTCATTTTGTCAGGAGAGAATGAATAGTGGACAACAGGATAACTTCTTACCACAAAAGAAATGTGAAATTCCACAAATAAGGTGAGATGGTAGATTAACCATAATTTTGTGATGTTTAGAGAATAAAAAATAGTAGGAGTAGGAGTAGTGTTTGATTATTTTATAGAGGTAATTTGGCAACTTTGGCCATTCAAATCTCTGCAATTAAACAACATAGGTTACGGCGAAAAATTGAGGAAATATGCAGATACGCCGCGGGCGATAACTTTTGGTAGAGCGAAGATACTTCAAAAATATTCAAAATCTAAAAATTTTTAGATCTGCCTCAGTGGCATGTTAATAACCATATTAAAAGCTCTAAAAAATCTGTTAAAATCAAGTCAAAGTAGACCATTTGACGTATATTTGTAACAAAATCACATAAATATGCATGAAAGAAAAATCTAAATATTGCTGACCTGAGCGAGGAAAGGTCATGATCCAAACATCGTCAGGTCTCGGTGAAAATTGATAAATATCAGCTGCACTGCGTTCATATTCAGCTGGAAATATCCATTTTTGATCACCAACCTGAACGAAGCCTTCACCTTCACCTCTAAAATAACTCAGTATCCTCTTATTGTTGTCCGGACCGGCATTAATTATTTTATGCGGAAACATATTCGAAGATGCTGGTTCTGCAATAGTAAATGAAGTGCATACATACCAGTATATTATGCATTTTAGTTGGTTAGTTAGTTAATTTAATAAGACAATGAGCAGCCATGGCTGTTTGAGACAGAATCAAGGAGACTACATTGAATTTTGAGTTTTTGTTACTTAAAAACTTTTAAAATTTCAATAGGTACAGTTTCACTTTTGGGGAATGAGATTTTAAAGGCCGGGTATTTCACAGCAAGACATATGCATTCAAAGTTACACATCGACGGTGAAACTACCAAACCACGTATCTCGTTTGCGGCGTTTAAAAATCTCCGCTCACATTTTATTTTTTTGAAGTAGACTAAATCAACATCATTCCTTGAAATTTTCACGGAATTTTCTCCGCACGAAGAGGAAAAATCACGGAAATTTTCAAGACTGGACGTTAAGTAGCTTTTCATTTAAAAAATAAAGTATGACAGGAAGTCTGCGACGTCGCAAACCGAGATACGTGGTTTGGTAGTTTCACCGTCGACATGGTAACAAATACAATGAGTATCATGATAAATCAATAACACTTGATGACCGTTCAAAAATCATAATAAGTTTGTTTTCATTGTCATCAATAAATATGTGTATATTCTCTGGGTTTCTTTGTTTCAGTAAGAGCTCATGAAAAACATGTTAACATTTTAGCAAATAACTTCATAACTAGAGAAACGCACCTCTCGTGCTACTATTTATGAAGAAATGAGTGGATAGTGCACCAAAACACGCATTGTACGTATCATGAATGAATTCTAACAATACATAGGTACCTAAACAATGCGTGTTTTGGTGTGCTTTCTATTTATTTCATCAAAACATACCTTTGTATAAGATTATTCCATTAGAGAGTCAAGCATGCGATGACAGTTTTCCCTAAATATACACTTAAATCAACGTTCGACAATTGAACATACTTGAGAACTACAGGCGTATTTGAGACTCCAAAATATAACAATCGGAATATATTTGAAATGATGAAGATAGCGTCATTGAGACTGAATGAGAGCTGAGGGAGTGGAAAACAAGCAGTGAACTCCACCGCAGGGTGTTGATAAGGTGCGTCACTGACTTGTATATATTAACCTGATTAGTTTTCATTTACAGAAGTTTTAAAATATGTAAACAGCACACCAAGCAAATTCACGATCCAATGCTGCAAGGTCAACCTCTCACCGCGACAAGGCCGTGTATTGTGAACGTAGAAAGCCATTCGGACGAGTTTAAATTTTTTGATCTGCCACAAGCAAAAACTTATCAGCTTCTTAAAGAACAGTGGATACTGGGTAATTCAAGTCAAAAAAGAAAAAAAATCTGTTGAGCTCCTGGAAAATAAAGTCGATTTAAAAGTATTTTGGGACTGTAATAGCCAAATGACCGGTAATCCCGCTATCGATAAACAGGGTGTTCACAGCGAACACCTTAAAAGTCGATTCTTTACCATGGCTTCCAATGGGGGAAATATCGATAAACAATTAATCACGTTTCGCCAGCGCTTGATACAGCCTATGATAAAGAGATCCCCTCCTCACGTCTAAAGCACTATCGATATCGAGAAAAAAAATGAAAGCAGCGAGTTAAACTGAGGGCAATGATTATGCAGTGCAGCCGGAAAAAGAGGTCAAAATGTCTCAGATTTGAGATAAGGCGTTTCTGGCGTCTTTTGATCTTCAGAGTCCAAAAATAACTATAATTTAGTATCGCTCACCATTCCTCCGACATAGTAAATTTTTCTGGAAAAAATCTGCGAAAAGCTATACGCACCGCTTTGCACAAAAAAAAAAAAAAAAAAAAAAAAAAAAAAAAAAAAAAAAAAAACCCAAGAGATTCCTAGGGTTGTCGGTAGGGGGTTCTGGTGTATTTTGAATGGTTAAGGCACAAAACCTCAAAAATCTTGGTCCGATGTTTTAGAAATTCTTTTTTTTTTTCTTTTTGAAGAATGATAATTAATTAAATATTTGTATATTTTATTATTTCTTTGTATTTTCTATAAATGAAAGAAGTACGTATACGCAACCTTATCGATAAAAAAGGAGAAATTAGTAATTTTGAGCAAATAGCGTAATGGCAGGGTATATCTCGTGAAAAACTTGACACTATCACGTTTTTTACGAATAACATTACGTATCATGTACGAGTTAATAATGAAGCATAGGACAAGAAGACGGTTTACTTTTTTACTGGTTGGTCCGTCTTTTTCGTAGGTTTGATGCCTATCCGGTCACATTGAAGGCGAACCTAAGGTAGCAAGATCCGCGAAAATAAGCCTTGCACATCAGGAATGAATACAGAGTAGTAAATTAATTATTGGAGGTCTCTTTCCAGAAAATTAGCGTGCGGTGACTAATCAAAATATTATGTGAAAACGATAATTTGTCCAAGTAACTAGTAAACAGCGATCTAATGAGTAGGACCTTAATGTTTCCTATGCTGAATTGCAAAAAAACGAATAGAGTTCTAGAAAAACATTTGGGAAAATGCCAGCCAAGAAAAGAAAAACACGAAAGTCGTTGAAACATATTCCTAGCTCTGGCTGATTTCGAATTAGACCGCGAAAAATAATCGATCAGTTTTCTATATCTGATTTAGCTTGACAATCGATGGCCTTTACCAAACATACATATAACTAGTTGAACTTCATTCCGGAGTTGAAGTCAAAATTAGCTGGAAGGACCACTCTTATTTTATTTCCTGTTCCTTTGACGCACCGTGGAATGAGCCACTGGGAACGGTCAAAAATTATATTTTTGACAAAATTTAGTGCGATTTAATTGAGAATGAAATGAAAATGAATTTTCAAAATTTCTTGATAGAATTGAATTGTGTCAAATGTATTATTCATTTCGTCACAATATAATCTATGACGAGTGCTTCTCACGGTAAATATTACAAAAATAAAAGTATTGGAGCCATTTTAAAATTTTAAAGTTTTGAATTAATGAAGATATATACGTTTTTAAAGATTCCTCATAAGGGCATACTTTGACTCGCTCTACTGATTATGAGTGATGATACTCTGACAGATGTAACTGACTAATTTTCCGAAGAGTTGTAATGCTTGGAGGATTGCTGTGTTCCAAAGATCAGAACATTTTGGACGCGTGATAGGACTATTTAATCTGTGACAATGGATCCGTAAAATGTCTGAAGTTCCATCCCTATGCCCTATCGGCCAATTTATACGCAAAAAAGGGATCGTAAATCAAAAGTTCAAGGAATTTGCAAAATAGTAACGTCCATTTGAATAGGTATATTTTTATTAATTTTCTTTTAATTTTAAGTCATTTATTTTTTGGTCACGCCTTTTACAAATAAATTTGACTAGTTTTACAATTAGGAGCATCATCACCAAAAACGCTGTAAAATACACCGCAATCACGTCTAGCAACAAAATTTGGTACAATGGCATGGAAACAGATATCGGTTTCAAATGATGAGCACCTTTGTGTCTGATTACATATTCCATCCAATATATCGCAGTGTCTAGGGATGTCATCGGTTGATCAGTCATAATTTTAGAGGCTAATCTGATGCTTTTTTTGAACCTGAGAACAGAAATTGAAAATTTCACATCGATTCCCGCAACGACTAAAATCACTGAATTTTCAGGAATAACAGTTAAAATTAAAGGGGCGTATCATTAGCGTATGAAAGCGAGACGCAACTATTCGACCACCCGAGCATGGCACAGTATCACTCAAAATTGAAGGCGAATATAACGCACGATCTCACCGGGCCAATTCCTACAACGGCTCGTGTTTATTAATGGACTTCTAACCTTCTAATCATCTGGATCTTCTAAAGTTCATCATAGGGGAAATATTGATGTTTTGCCACCCTGCTCTGGTATCAATTTTGCAAGAATCAGCCGTATCATCCAATGTTGTTCATTTTTGCTGTTCATTTTTATCTATTTGTTAAAATGTTTGTTCATTTTTATCAACCGCAAACAAACGGTCATATTTGTTTTTGGCGAAGACTGCAAAGTTGTTGAAATTCAAATTTCGCGCCACAGCTCTAGCGGCGGGAACCGCAAGCCGAGATATGGACGAAAGTGTTGAAAAGAGCATACCTGCGTTTCATTTACCTCGGTTCGAGGTGATATTTGTGTATTAGAGGTCATGGTCACTCGCCCGTTGCCCCATTTACGGAATTCGGCTTATAATTTAATCGGTCATTATGTGAAATGGGGAAAAAACGGTAAATGCTCGATGGTCAAGTCGTAAACGGGATGTTTCCAGAGACAAGAGACCTTACATTGGTATCATGACAATAGTGGAAGCTTTTACTTTTGGGACTCAAGCATTCTACTGTTGACCTATATACTAGGTCTATGGTTAACAACGTGCTGCACTGGAAAAAAAAAAAAAAAAAAAAAAAAAAAAAAAAAAACACACACACACACACACACATTGGATCTAGAGTCCAGACTCTTAAAAACATCAACAATAAAAAGTACTCTTGATACAATCAGAATCTAGCTTAAATCAAGAACCAAGCCTCTTAATTTAAGCGGATTTCGTTTTGATTCAAGCAAAATTCCGATTGAATCAAGAGTATTTTCTCTAGTCAATGTTTTCAAGTGTCTGGAATCTAGATCCAATGTGTTTTTTTTCCAGTGTGGGAGTTTTGTTTTGCAAATAAACTAAAGACCGGGGAACTTTGGCTCATGGCGTCACCCGAAGCTCATCATCCATCTAATAGGTAGGTTAACAGCCGAAAAAAGGGTGATGACTGTTGCTCCCTTATAATTGTCCATAAGGAGGTGTTGAATCCCCGAAAGTATAGGCTTCCACCTGCCGCCGAGAGGCCGGCGGAGGGTCTCTTGTCTCTGGATGTAACACAGGCCCAGGACTGAGGCACCAGAGATAGCTTAAAACTCTCCATTTATCATGCTTGAATTGTCATCAATTCCCCCAAAAAACACCCAAAATATGGTAATAGTTGATCGAATTAGGCTTAAGCGCGTCTATTCTGAGTTCATTTTAACAGTTTTTATTATTTAACCAAACACCGAACTAACCGAGAATCTCCCAATACTGTTTCTATGGCCAATCGTAAGGAAGTTTCAGTTAAATTATTATAGAAAATGCGGAGTCCATAGCCACGCATTTCAGCATTTGCAGCATTTACGTCCTGATCGCCGAAAATTGGCATCAAAACCATCGGCACGGCGTGTCGGATGGCTTCCATGGTGCTCGAAATTCCTCCATGAGTTAGGAACAATAGGCAGTTGTTGTGTGCTGGTAAAATAAAGTAAAAAATTAGAAGAGCTGCAAGCTGCCAAAAAAATAATGTCCGTAACGTTTTATCCAATGCCAGAAAATTTCCCGCCTCCACAATGAGAATGAGTCAGTTGCACTGATTTCAGACTCTAGTTTTGATGTTTGACTCTTGTCGTTTCGCAAAAATAATAAGATCTGACTTTTTCAATAACAATTACACCACATACATGAGTTAATAAAATTACAACACCTCCTATAAATAATAAAAATCTTTAAAAATAAGGACTAATAATTAACACAAAGAAACTTCTTGAAGAGATAAGAGCCATAATAAAACATAAAATCAGAATTAAAGGATCAAACAATATATAAGCCACCAGGAGGGTAAAGTATTTCAATCAGTAAAGAGAGAGAGAGAGACTAATCATGAAACTTTGTGTTAAGGTATATTGCAACCTCCACTTTGAAATTTTGACAAGAGCAAATGTACGATTAATAATAATTAATCTCGACTATTCTTAACTCAGTTTTTGCCAAAATAGGGCTTGGTCCCTTTTTGATTATGGCATTTTACTTTTAACCCCATTTCCTGTAGTTCCGCATCAACATTTGAGAACATTGCTGGATAACATTTTGCAATAAGAAACAGCTATTTCATATCAAATTCATAAGCGCTTATCTGTGCAGGATAACTAATGGGACATAATGCCTAAAATTAGGCATAAATAGGATCCCTTCTTGCAAAAGTCTATTAGTGAAGTTAGGAGTAAGGTCCCCTTAAATATTGCATTATCTGTAACTTTTAAAAAATTTTGGAATGTAAATAAGAATCTGAGTTTACCTAAAATACTATTTTGGTCGAACCAATCTCTCACAAGAACATTCTTCGGGATATCCCAATCGTTGATATTTGAGTCTGCTCGCCATAGCACCGTTTGGTTCAATTCTTTGAAAACAGTCAGGAAAGTGTGGATTGCTTCCGTTCGAAGCAGATCCGTCTTCAAAATCGTCCCTAAACTGAAGAAAATTACACCTTGTTTGGATGTTTCCATAACTTCTGCCAGCTCCTAAAAATAATAAATGGAGTACTTTTAAAATCATAAATAATAAATGCACACAATATTGTACTTGCAACATCTTTTCAGATGGAGTATGGAATCTACTTAAATTGATTGAATCTATTTTGTTAGTTCCTCTTGTCTTAGATTTGTAAGCAAGGTATACTTTGAATTTTAGACATGCAAAAGAAAATTTAAGACAATGGTTGAATGTGTCACTAAACATTGTGTTTTTTATTTTTAATATTCTAAGAATACTACGTGAGTCTAAATACTCGAAGGAATTTCAAACACGCCGAAACGGCAGGAAAATGATGGCAATGAAGCACTGAGGGAATAAAATCGCTATCTCCTTTCATTTTCCACTGATATTTTTTCCAAATAAAACGTATTTTAATATAGAATTGTTGCTTGTTTACTACTGATAAAATAATTCGATTCCTTGATTCTGCACTTATAGTCTCAACTTTCTTAATATTTTCATATACGCAGAGTATAGAAACATTTTTAATGGAGGTTGTAAAATCCCGAACTCGCCTCTGATCGGTGCCGGATGACATTATTCGGTTCGGCTCAAAACCGGGGGGTTTTAAATTTGCGGAACAATTGCGCTCTTACTAGGTCCTTACTTATTCGCTGTCCACGGGCTGCTTGTACTTTTCCGCCCCCTTCTCTCATCCGTTTTAAAAAAGATTAATAAGGACCAACAAATGGACGTGCCAGAGAGGGGAAGGGTGCATAAGTCGCGTTTACTCGTGTTGGGCGCATTTTTCTTTGAAAGCTATGTCCACTTAAGCAAAAGTTCACGGAACTTTGCGCGGAGGTTAAGTTCCGTTAACCTATCTCTGCAAGGACAAGGCCTTCTATTGATGAGAAATAAACGAACAAATTGTGAAAGAACAAACGTAAATGTGGTATAATAATTGTATCCTCCGCCGCGCCGCACTGTGTTTGGCGTAATGCGTGAAGTATTCCCACAGTCTTGTAGGCGCTAATATGCGTTCCACGCCGACCGCTGACCGCAATGTGTTTGGCGCAGTAATGCATAAGTTATTCATGCAGTCTTGTACGCGCTAATATGCGTTTCGTGCCGACCACCGCTCTGAGGGCTTCTCCTATTCTTGTAAAGTGCCACAAAAAGACGACATTATTAGAAATTATTATATTTTTACCCTCGGGAAATGAGAGATTTTGCTGCCTTTACTCATTCGTAATTATTTCTCTGAATCTGATTTTTTTTTTATACCTGTTTAGAAAAATCGCAAAATTTTCCAGCCCGATAAATTTGCCGCCATAGGCCGTGGCTTATGCGTCCTCTCCCCCCCCCCCAAATCCGACCCTGGCTCTTAGATTTGCGTATTTATCGGTTTCTGAATCACTTTGTCGCGTTTTCAAGTGCGCATCGTGTTCTACGCGTCATTTAACTTTTGAAAAATGTATCCGTCAGCCAAAATTCTTTCATGGTTTTAGTGACCCATGCAAAACCATTCTCAACTCTTTGTTTCCCTAACATGACTTGTTTTGTATCTGTTTAAGTTGATTCAATGGACGCAATTTTTGGGTCAAAACGGCATGCAATATATCGCATCGATTGGTTCCATTTTTTCAGCTACTCGTCACTTTTCTCGCATTTTCAGATTGCAACCCTGTTATCAGGAGAATATAGAATTCACATACCAATTTTGAAAAAACAAATTGAACGTAATAAAGGAGTGGTTTTTCTAGAGTAAAAATATCGCATTCGATACTGATATCAAAACTGCACTCGAATGCGATATTGCGAAAAAACACGCCTATAATACGTTGGATTTGTTTGTCAAAATTGGCAAGTGGATTCTTTGGTCTCCTGACAACAGAATTGCGATCTCAAAATTCGAGAAAAATGACAAGAAACTGGAAAAATGGAACTAGTCCATGCGATATATCGCATGTTGTTTTGACACAAAATATAATGTCCATCAAATCACGTTAACTCCGATTATAGTGGTTACCTCATCCAGTGGCCTCGGGTTTTGAAAGTGCAGCCCAGATATCTCGATGACGTTCGGCGGGTAGAGTTTAGCGCCATCGACGGCGACATTTCCTGTCAGAAAAACGAGCGAAACGTTTCTCAACATATCAGAGATGCGAGGAATCGACCCCGGGACGTGGTGAGATAGCACTACGTCATACAATGGGTAGTAATAGAATTCGTGGTAAATTAGACTCGCATACTGCTCCCAAACGTTCTGCAACCTTCCCGCGAGATTCATCGGGGGAGCGAGCCCGAGTTTATCCAGCAAGTAAGCAGCGGCAGTCGGTGCACCAAAAATACTCAGGAAATCGATGTTGTAACCATTACTAGAGAATGCCACGATGGGGGCGTTGAAAATTTGACCAAGAACGACAAAAGCTTCTTGAAAGAAGAAAACTTCCGTGAATATCAAGTCAAAGCGAGTGTCTCCCTGAGTTACATCCTTGAAAACCGAGGACTCTAGGACTGGTGGAATTAAAGTATCAGCGAAAACCTCCTTGGACCAATGTCTTAAGAAAGGTCCTTGTGGCTTTGATTGAGCCATTTCGAATTGGTTTCCTGCAACATCGTGACGTTCAATTAGGAAGGTCGGAATCTAAACTCGAGTCAGCAGAATAAAAAGCTTGAATTATATGGATAGCATTTAACAAAAAGGAACCAACGCAATTGTAGTGTTTTCAAAATTTTGCAACTTCTCATTTTCTTTTAAAAATACTCGCAATATATGTACAGTATTAAAATTTACACAATTATTTTCCTTTAAAATTAACAATTTTTTTGCTAAAAGGCTAAAACTATTTGATATCCTCGTAGATTTTTTAGATATTATAAAGAGGCAAAATTTTTACAACACTGCAATCGCGCAGGTTCCTTTTTTAGAGATCCTTTGATGCGATCCACATGGTTGTCACACATATCCCCCGGCCACACCCCACCTTTCAACCAGGAAGATACTGGAGACTGAGCCAGGTAGGATTTTTGTAATTTAACGTACTATCGCAACTGAGAGTTACGAAAAATTTTCGCTGGTGAAGAATTTGATGACGTTAAATATAGAGGATTATAATGCTGCATTGGCATCGCATACGATACCATTTGACTTTCACGATCAATCGCATCTTCCATATGATCATATTGGACGTCGTATGGACATGTTAGTCGGGTGGAGACGGAAAGGCTGCCAAAACAGATGCTTGATTAGGCTTCTCCAGCGGGCCTATTATTGAAATTGATAGACGAAGCTATAAACGAAGAAGACAAAAGGGGTATGGAGGGATCCTATTGGTGGAAGGGAGTGGTTGCAATGGACAAAACAGGTAGGTATAAGATCAAGTAACGGCAACCCTCGAGAGGCCCTATTATATAGTCCATTATTTTCTCCCTTATTCTGTAGGAACCACCCATTTAAACCAGTATGATCGCTCCATACTCCCTATATTCGCTTTGTCTATCGCTTTGTCTATGGATTCCAAAAATTAGCCCACAAAGAGGGGATTAAGGTGAAGCCCAAGAACAAGGGGCAAACAGAGGGTTTCACAAGAAATGAGGAGGTGCCAACTCTCTAAAGGACTTTGCTGTGGACTGACAGGTTAGATAAATCTAGCGAATACATGTCAAGTGATAGAGAACGCTGTGAATGTGAGTACTATGTATGTAGAATGCTGCAAAAAAAAACTTAAGTACCCATCAAGTTTCCGGGCGATGTCGGTGGATAAAAGATGTGGGTGAGATTGATAATTTTTCTTTTTGGTGGATAGGGGCTGACTTCGGTAACATTGTGACCTCGGAGCGCTAAGGCTTGAAATAAAGGTTCCACTTGAGTGTAATGACTCCTCAGTGTAACTGGTAAAAATACCAGGATATTGTCAGCGAAGCATCCAGTTATCATCCAGACAGCCAAAAGTGAAGTGAATGTCCGCATATCTGGAAACGGAGCAGAATTCATATATGTGATAGTCAGTGGCGAGGCGTCAATGATTATCGATATCTCTCCATTTGAAGCTATGGTAAAGAATCGATTGGTAAGGTGTTCGTTACGAACAGCCTATCTATCGATCTGTTTCCATAGGTTTAAATGGTAGATGAATCGATATATCGCAAAACACGCCACGCCACTAGTCATATAGTTAAGTGCCGACTCGATTCGCAAGAGTATAGTAAAGCTCCTCGAGCCAGAAAGACGGTCCTTGAGATCCACGGGACAACTGTAGGTTCTTCATGTTTGGAAATGAGGCTTATAAAGGACTCAACTTCGTAATTTCCGCCTCTCTCATTGGTCACCACGGGGAGGCAAAACCTGGCCGTTCATGCGAACCGTGGATCGCGTAATCGGTGAGGAAATTTTTGTCCAAAACGACACCGAAAAAAATTCTCAGAAAAAATGTCGACGATTCATCTATCTTTTCGACTTCTCAAACGACGTTTCGAGCAAATTTTAAAAAAGATATAGAGATATAGAGGTAGAAAAGAGAGAGAGAAAAAGGTCATCACTTTGAAATATTTAGAAAAGGAAGGAGAAATTCCGGATCGCGTGAAACGTTCGGCCAAATGGCGCACTTTTTACACTCCTAGTCAGAGATGCATAAGGGGTATATAGATAAGTGCTTTTGTAGCCTTTAGTTTGAACTTAAGAAAAGTCCAATAGGGATAAATTTCGGAAACAAAAGACAAATTTTTTCCTTCCAACTTTGTACGAGCTCGGTGCTGCCTTGAAAATAGACTTTTATGGGGCTGAAACGCTTGGTCCTCCGGAAAAAATGCTTCAAAGTTTTTAATTTTTTTTCACGCTCTCTCTCTCGCATTGTTAAAACTGTGATTTTCTTTGACATAATCACCAGAGTATTTTAGGAAGAGCCCCTCCCCTCCCGTAAAATGAAATGATAATAAATTAACACCTCTAATTTGAATTTGGTACTCAAAATTACGCCTAGCTACTAATTTTTATGGCAACAGACCAATGACTGTGGGCAGAATAAGATATAAAAATGGATATTTTCATTTATCTTTGAAGGGCTGAGATTATCCGAAAACCCTACTATTAGCACCCATTTATATCACAGGAAAAAGTCTTATTTTAACCTGATCGCTTCCTAAAATTTTGCTGCTTAAACCTTGCACGCTCAGCACTTAGGGACAGAAATATAAGAGAAACATGGTAAATAAGGAGAACATATTCAGAGAAATTTGGTTACCTGAATGCCGTCGATATTCTTTCAAATGAAGCCCACACGAAGTTATCACATGCCGCTTATGTCTACATGTACAAGTTTATGATCTACTTAAAGAGGAGTAACAGTTATTCAGTAGCATGAAATGAACTAAACTTAAGCTCTCTCGATTCAAGTGAAATCATGCTTAAGAACAGAGCAAATTTGGAAGTTTGATACTCGGCGAAATGTGAAGTGCAGAAATGAATGGATCATTACAAGATAAAAGAGTGAGATTATTAAAGTATTTTCAGGGTCAACCTCTCCATTCAGACCACTTATACTTATGGACTTGTATATTTTTCAAAATTTAATTCGATGACACCTCAATTTTCACGATTGACAAATATAAGTCGCCAATGTCACTATCACTGCAAACAAATTCCGTGCCTTAAATGTAGCACGTCTCCAAGACGATTCAAATCTTTGCAAAGAAAAGAACAAACAAATGAAAAAAATTGAACACATAATGTTGCAGGAATCGAGATTTCTCTCAAAATATGGAAACTTCAATTTGACTACATTTTGCAGTTAGGAACTACAACTTCTGACTCATCTGTTAAAACACTTGCGTGCATAGGGAAACTAAAGGTACATACTTTGTTTCTAGACTGAGCCAGAAATTGTAGTGCTAAATTGCAAAACGCGATTCAATTTTCCAGCAAAGTTGTGTGTGCAAGTTAGGTATAAATTGTAAAAATCATGAAAATCGGTCTGGTAGAACGCCGGAACTCAGCGTTACCAGATATGCAAATTTAGGAGGTCTCGGAGCTTATAGTATAGATTGTCAGTTTTGCATTTCATTTACTTTCTCTCTTCTTTTCCAAGCAAAAAAAAAGAGATTATTTTCTTAAATTTTTGTAAACTATATTGGACAACAGTCTGTGAGAAATTGTGTACCTTGAGACTGCTCGCAGAGCAGTCTGGCGACATGGACGCTCATAGGATTGCGCTGGCGACCACTTCTAGAAAATCGCGGCTTTAGCAACTTCATTGCGCCTGCAAATTAGGAGCAGGCAATTTATCTTGCATCAACTAATTTAATTAGTCTACATATCTCCACACGACGCGGCGCGGTCCTGTAGAGTCTGTGCTAAATGAGTTTACTTAACAATTGGGGAAGATGGTGCTAGTTAAGGACTAACTATGGATTTGCCTTCCACTGGATGGAGGGACAAATTTTCAAGTAACTGACGAACGGATCTTCAGAAACAGTCTCCACGCGGCCTTAATCCCTGAAAATTTGAAAGCCTAGAGCATGGCTGTGTGCTAACCCTAGCCTGATGCTCATTTGAGGTTGCAGAATCCACAAATGGATTGAAAACCCCAAAACTTAAAAAACAAACAATTTAAGAAAAACCGAAATGGCCAAGAATGCGCATTCTTTCGCAAAAATGAGTGAATTCATGCAAAGATTAAGTCAAATACATGCTTTGCAAACGACGGGTCGGGTCGTAAAAATTGTAATAGAAAATCACTCGGGATAATTTGAATTCATAGATTGGCTGCCTTTTTGGACCCTGAGAGCTCCATCATCTAGCCTCAAAATTACTGACATGCCTGTACTCTCCCTATACAGATATTTACATCTTCCCATACAGACACTTAAGTTAGACGGGCGACGTGTATAGTCCCCGCTAAATAAGTTCTCGCATTTATACAGTTTTGCAGAGGACCTAGCTGTTCTCAGCTAAAAATTGGAAGTTGATACAAAAAAATATGTGGCGGATCTCCTTTCACACTTTAAAATGCTTAAAATTCTTTGATGTGGACATTTGAAGTTATTTCAAAATGTTTTATGGTCAAATTGTTTGTAAAAATGTCTGACGTAGCGTGGTGTGTTGCTAGAAAATTCCTCAGAAATCTCCAAAAATCCAGAAAAGTATCAATGATTAATCGATCGATTATCAAATTGTTATCCATGCACAGTGCTGAAAAACCACCTTAGTCGTAAACAGGAGGAGAAGAAAGAAATCATGGGAGCATCGCATGCACAAATCCAGAGTGGGATTGGTAAAAAAAAGTACAGAGCGGTGAACCGGTTTGAGCAATTAATTAGCCGGAACGGAACGCGATAATCCGTTGACAATTAAATAAAACTAAATTGTTTCCATCTTCCGCCAAACTCTTGGCTAGCGCACCGATGACAAAGAAACCTTCATAAAATGCGCGCTGGGCCTGCCAAATAGGCAGTTCCATTTACAGGTGTACTTTGCAGAGACTTTTGAGTGGGTGATGAAAAGATTTAACAATAAATTCGACTGGCCAATACTGCGGGTCGATTGTGAAATCGTTATCGAATGACCTGGATCGATAAAATTCATTGCCAAGATAGGGATTAACCGATCGAGTTTATTCGATATATAACGACTCAACAGTCGACTCGCAGGTTGGAAAGAAACCACCATGCGTCTGAATATACATTTTGTGCCGATAACGCGGGCGATTCATTTGAACACTGAATTTAAAAAAAATAAATAAAAAGATACTGAATTCAAATAAATTGAAAAAAGAATAGCTTGCAATGGAATTTTTTAAATTTCTGATTAAATCTTAATTTTTAATTTTTTAATATTTTTTTCTTTGTGCGCGAGAATTAAAACAAACAATTAACTCAGCAGACGAAAAACCTAGAAAATCATAAAACTATCCATCAGCTACAAAATATTACGTAATTTTTTAAGTATGTGTGTTTCTGGTGGATCAGTGGCACATTATGCCACACATTTCATGAGGCCTATATAATTTCATCATACACTAGTAGAACTTTTGTTTGTTTGTTTTCTTTTATTGTTACTGCTGATCAATGAAATAAGCTCTCACACCTGATTTTCATAAAAAATTGCCTTGAACTCAGAAATCAATACAATTTTCAATCACGCAAACAACTTGTTCAAAACAGTAAAAATTCAAAAAATGTGCGTTAAAATTTAAACCTGAGCTTCCTTGAAGCAGTTTTTTTTCTGTAACAAGCGCATGAGAGAGGATAGATTAAGTGCGGTTCTCATCCATGTCAGATTGAATATGTATTGATAAGTCCTATGATAAGGTCCTTAAGATTAAGATTATAAGGTTAAGGTTCGTATGATCCTTGCACTGAAAAAAAACTCCGGTCGTGGAAGCCGTACTTTCGGGCTATATATAGACATACCGTCCGCGTTCTGGGCTTAGAGGCCGAAAATTCCGGGCGTAGCACCCAAAGCAATCGAAGCTACGGCTCCAGCACCCGGAACTTTCGACCTATGATCCCGGAACGGACGGTACGTCTGTATAGCCCGTAACTTTTTTTTGCAGTGTATAGATCCTGTCCCTTCCGAAAAGATACGGTTACCCAAAAAGTTATATATACGGAGAACGGTCGTATCATATAGGCTTTATTCAGCATAAGTGCACTGTGCTGTGACAAATTGGTCATAAAATTCACGAATGTCAACATTTTTTAACTTCTCGTTCAATTTCAAATTTACAGTCTATTCAATTTTAACAACTTCTCCCCACCACGATTCATTTTTCAGAGGAGTCACTTACCTTGAGTCAACCTGCGAATTCAGGAAAAGAACGTCAGGTTTCAGTCATTTCCGAAAGGAAGCAGTTGGTAACGTAGTCTTTCCAACCGGATTGTGTTCAGTTGATTGATTGCAAAGGACCATTCCGAGTCTGAAGCCAAGCCTGACAATGTAACCATCCGCTGCCAAGTGGGTGAGCTACACTAGAAGAAAATAAATAAAACACGATGGATCGGTTTTTCGTGTCTAAAAATAATTGTCGTTACACTTGTAAAATTTGACCAACGGTCATCGTTAAATTCAATATTACATTATGCTGTTCAACATCGGTCATCAGCGGCAAGCGTAGCCAACTGTTGAAAAGAAAATTTAAAAAAAATATATAGTAAAGAAGTGAAGACCTAAAATTTTGAACACTTAAATATTTTACAAATCTCAGGCCACATCTGATTAAAATTCGGTCGAAGAGGGCTATTTTTAGAAAATTCTCTCGGGGAAGCTCCCGGCCCCCATGGTTTGGAAGGTGTCCTCCCAGACCTCCCATTCAAAATTGCCAGGTGCCCTGCTCCTGCCCCTCAAGGTGTATCTGGATCCGCCACTGCTCATCTGTATTGGGTAAGTTCGCCACCCCCCTTCTCCGAGGAGGTATACTTGGGGAAAGCCCGCACCACAGGCCCGAAAATCCTAAATCCAACCCTGTGTCACACGGCCAAATCTGGCTATCAAAATAACGAGGTCAAATGCTGTGATTGGTCCAAGTCGTCAAATAATGCATAATCACAACAACTGACCTCGATATTTTTATAGCCAGCTTTGATCGTGTGGCATTAGCTCTACATTCCATGTTTCTAACAAGGCACAGGACACAGGTGCCCCCTAAAGCTTAGGAGGCTTGTGCATGCAACAGTGAAAACGGTGTCAAAATCCAACAATTTTGCTGCATATATCTTGGGTGAATGACTTCAATCACCGATGGAATGTAATTTTTCTCCTATTGGGTTACCAATGTGTACCACAGATCAAAGGAAGTATACTGTCCAAGTTTTAGGTATAAACCACCATGACACAACTCTATAAACAGCGCACCCGATACACTTGCAAGCGTCCTGATTTGACTTACATCACCGCTGGTGAACTGTCGCAGATAAGTCTTTTCTGAAACCTCCCAATTGAGATAGGTCTAGAATGCTGAGTGACGGTCATTTGTTCAACCGGTTCAGCTTTCAAATCTCCAACCTGATATATTGCTCCTGATTCTGCTCTCTACTTCCCCGCAAATAGAGTGTCAAAATAAAGACACAGAAGGTGAAGGTTCCTCGCTCACCCATATTTCAAGCGCGAATGCTCGAATAACGACACGAGCTTCGCGTCCGCTGAGGCCGCGCGTGTCCGATGCGATCCCGCTTCGTTGCATTGAATCTTGTTGTTCGCACATTTTTTTCTTCTTTTTTTTATTAAGTCTTGTTTTTTATTCGGAATGGACAAGGAAACGCTCGAGTGAAGAATTTGATTGTTGTCCTGTCGCGATAAAAAAATGGTCGGGTCACTCGAACTGGATCTTGCTGTCATCGGCCTCGGTGTAGAAACTGAACCCAGTCATTGTTGACAAACAAACGCCAGGATTAAGATTATTGGCAAGTCAAAGGCTGCGCCTATTCCAAATGCGTGCAGCGTGCAGATGCCTTTGAGGTGTTAATGAGTCTTTGTGCTACCGGGGAACAGTGTATAGTATCCCACTAACTTTGCGACACCTTGGTAAAATCATAGGCAGATCCAGACATTCAAAACGGGGGAGGGGGGTTGTAAAAGGGGTCCGGGGGCCTATGGCTTCCCCCAGAAAATTTTTGAATTTTGGAAACATCTAATATGCAGTTTAAATCAATTTCGTCATGAATAATTACCAAATGTCCCATAATACCCCATTATTTTTTGAATATTACTGTTGTTTAACCCCATTAAACTACCAAAGATAGCAACGCCTTTCCCCCTTCTTTCGTGTGTCCCTTCCTTCTTCTTTCCTTCACTTTTTCTTCCTTCTTTTTAGGGCGAACGGTGGAAGCCTACGCCCCTCCCCCTACATCCACCTATGGTTAAAATCCTAATAAATTGAATTGTTGTAATTCGGAGATAATTTTCTGTGATACTAGTTTTTTCCCCCGGCGCACGCCATTCCAACGTGTATACCATTAAAACGGTATATTTTTCTACACGATATAGTCTGACCAAAAAATGAACCAGACGTATTTTAGACGGTTCTTTTAGTGATTAAGAATTTTAACATTTCTATATTGGGGATTTTTCAATAAGAAAACCAGCTTACGGGCTGTGTGCATCTTTCTTTCTTTCCGCATCAAATGTCTCTAACTGGAAATCACGAAAAGCGAGATACAAATTTTTAATCATTATGACTGCTTTCAAATCGCATTAAACTGACAAACCTCTCCTCCATATCCTTACTGTTTATCGCAGCTTGTTTGTTGTAACAATT